AAAAGTATTATTTTCTTAAGTTTAATGTGTAAATTTTCTTTTAAATTTTGGTTAAAATTATTACTGTTTTTGTAAAAATGAGTTTAAGTGTTAAAGTTTTTGTAAAAATTTTAAACAAATTTAACATTAACCTTTAAGAAAATAATACTTTTAACTAAAAACCTTACTAAAACATTTTAAAAATTAGTTTAAGTGTTAAATTTATATATTTAACACTTAGACTCATTTAAAAAAAAAACAATAATAATTTTAACCAAAATTTAAAACAAATTTAACATTAAACTTTAAGAAAATAATACTTTTAACTAAAAACCATCAATTGCTTCAAATTCACGCCTCCTAAAGCTGCAAATTTTCAATGTCTGTCCATAACTATGCCTAAGAAAACTGAAACAGAAAATGAAGACTTGAGTTTTTGAATACCTGGAACAATGTTGGTGACACCTTCCAAGAATCCGGCCTGTTCCAACCATAAGACAAGTTCAGATAAAACACAAAATGGTTCCCCAAAGTGGACTTACCGGAATTCTGACATCAAGTTTCTCAAACCCATCGTTCCCTTCCCAAGCCTCAAGGCTTAACTTAGTTACTGTGAACAATCTGATACAGTTGTACCCAAGAAGCTCTCTGTCTTCATCATACAACTCGACTGCTGGAAGATCACTTTACATGGGGACAAGTTTATTTCAAGGGACAATATTGTTCAACGTTGATGCTAAAATGAAGCTCTAGTCTTTTTTTCTTAGCTCGTCGTAGAAAGGAATAACCATTGATGACGACTACAGAAGCATTCTAGTCTCGCAAGATTTTGCTTTAGATCTTTCCTTATGTATCCTACTCTAATATATTTCTTAATCTTTTGACTTTTGTACCGATCCTCTTCTGTAAAAAAGTTAAGGATTTAATCTTTATTGAAATGGCGGATTAATGATATTTTTATTATTTTTTTAATATTGTTGATTCAAAAACATTTCGCACCAAACCCGTCCCGCTAAAAAAACAATTATTTTATTAATGTTGATCTTATTTATAATATGATTCTGAATCATTGTCTAAATATTTTAGTCGATGTGGAACGTTGAACACACATATTTCGTCAATTGGATAATATATGTCCGTTTTTAAAATTTCGAATCACAGTATATATGCAAAGAAAAAAATGATTTTTTTTTTACTTTATGTTTATATAATGATTCAAAAGTCAAAAACAAATCAAACAAAAATGATAGGAGAATCATAATTCTAAATCTTAATTTAATCTTCTAAATATCTAAATTACTAAATATGTAATATCCGGTGTATGAGTTAGGTTAAATACAACCCGACCAACAAAACTTTTATGACCAAAATTTGTAAACGGGTCGGATACCCATTATATCCAAATGCATTTTGCCCCACCCGCTAAAACTGTACTTAAAAAAATACAAGTATAGATTGTTAATACTAATTTTTATTAGCAAAAAAAAAAACAAAAAGCTAATCTAGATTTCGGTTTGGGACCTGGTTAGGTTTGGTTTACACATTTGATTTTGGTTTGGTTGTAATCAAATGAGTAACCAAATGACAATGGAATTTTGAGTGAAACGTCGAAACTTCTTATTATTTTATTACGGTTGAGTTTTTTTTGTTTTGTAATATCTCATCTAAACTTGAACTTTTACCCAAAAAGGAATCAAATTAAGGTGAAAGGTTGAAGTAAAGTAAGTATAGAACGATTGTGGGCACAATTAGATGCTCGTGCCAAACGAAGTCCAGCATCTTTCTTTTTTTTGTCCAAAGAAGTCCAGCATTTTAGGCATGGTGAAAGGTTAGAAATGGTTGTGGACAAAAATTTTATTTGACACCTCAGAAGTAAATTATACAAATACTACGTTTCTTTAAAATTATTTTATTTAAATATTTTTTGTTAACTAAAATCATTTTAATTGGAGATCCAATATAGATCAACATTTTATTCACAGAGTTTATCTAATCAACATTTTATTATACAATTGGACTATTGGGGTAGATAAAATCTTATGTGAGAAAAAATATTATATTTTAAAAACATTAAACCAAAAATACCATTGTTATGTTTAAATACAAATATAGTAATGATAAAAAAAATCTAATCAAATTATTTGTCCAATAATCATCTTATATCGAGTCTTTGGTCTAAGTGTTGTGGAAATCGATCCCAAAATCCGCTATATTGAAATGGAAGAAATCGAAACATTTGAAGAGACGAAAAAATAGATGTGGTTTTTCAGCCGGCGGTGGTCAATCATGCACTAGAGTTTTTTTGTTGTGATTGTGCGTACTGAGAAATCAAATGGAGTAACAGTAACAAAGTTCACTTGCATATGTAGCAAGCAAGAAGATACACCTCGTTGGGTTTGATACGTTAAAAAACTTGGTTGATGGATTGTTTTTTTCATTGGGTCTATTGGGCCAAGATCACGGGCCTAGTGACGCCTTTTTCAGTTTCTTAAATTTATCTCCAATTATTAGTTGAATAAAAGAAAAGAAAAAACAAACATTACTGTTTAGGCATTTTCTAACCACGCGACTAGCCGACTAGGCGAAAGAGAGAAAGAATTGTCATACCAGAAAACCATTACCACGTACGTAATTAAGTGTCCATTATTTTACAAATAGATCCCTTGGCCGTGTGTTTGGGATTGCCGACATGCATCTTGTGAATAAGGGCAAAAAGGACTTTTGACTTTTGATCACGATCGCAACTCGCAAGCCAACGCGAGCCTCTATTTATCCCCTTTATTATTTTGTATCCTTAAAAAACTACTAAAATAAATAATATTTAATTATTATTATCCAGTCCGTTCATCTTTTTGTTCTCTCCCTAGCTAGATTCTTCTTCTTCCTCCTTGGAATTGGGTTTGCTCTCGTAAAGCCTTTCTTCGCCAAAAAACGCCACTTGTTAATTTGATACAGTGGATTAGGGTTTTGTGTTGAAGCTCTTCTGATGGCGATTGTATAATAATATATATGCTTTCAGGATGGGTTTCTCCCAGTCTCAGGCCATTCGCCTGAATCTTGCTTCCTACTCCTCTCTCTCTCCCTGCCAGGTTCGTTACACCTTTCTCTATTCATTTAGTTCTCATAGTTTTATTTATGCACATTTTCTCAGAATCTCTGGTTTTCTTGATTTTTGCTGGCCTTGTTCTTGCCATCTGATTGTTCCTTCAAATGATGATATTCATAAGCTAAAAAATTGCCCTTTATGTATTAGTATATTATTATTTCCTTTAATTTGAGTAAGTTTACTTTTCTTGATCTGCGAGAGCTTCACTATTATCCAAGTTGCTCTGTGTCTGGCCAAAATAATCAAGCTTTCTTCTCTCTCTTAGAAGAAAGATCAAGATCTTGATTTTGATGTCGGCCATATCATTTTCTTATGCAGTATTGTTTGACTAGAGTAGCCAACCAGAAGCAGAAGAGTCTTGTCGCATTCCCGAGCATTATAAGGACAAAGAGACATGCTTTACTAAGTGTTCAATCAGTCTTGCACAATACAAGACCCAACATCAATGATAATGGAACAGCTGAGTCTGCTAATGTTCTTTTCGATAAATTATTTGCTCGGACACAGAGATTGGAAAGACAAACCAATCAACACTCGGTTTATCCTGACGATGATGATCTGCCCTATTCAAACATTGGGGTGCTTGAGTCTGACCTCGAGGCTGCGCTAGTGGCTTTGTTGAAAAGGGAAGAGGACTTGCAGGATGCTGAGCGGAAGCTTCTCTCTGATCAAAATAAACTAAACCAGGCAAAGGAGGAGTTAGAAAAACGTGAGAAAACAATCTCTGAAGCTTCTTTGAAGCATGAGAGTCTACAAGAGGAGCTGAAGCGGGCTAATGTCGAGTTAGCTTCTCAAGCCAGGGAGATAGAAGAATTAAAGCATAAGCTAAGGGAAAGAGACGAGGAACGTGCTGCTTTGCAATCGTCTTTGACTTTGAAAGAAGAAGAGCTAGAGAAAATGCGTCAAGAGATTGCAAATAGAAGCAAGGAGGTTTCTGTGGCTATTTCTGAATTTGAAAGCAAGTCACAACTCTTAAGCAAAGCCAACGAAGTTGTCAAGAGACAAGAAGGTGAAATACATGCACTTCAGAGAGCCTTAGAGGAGAAGGAAGAAGAACTAGAGATTTCTAAGGCTACCAAGAAACTTGAACAAGAAAAGCTCAAAGAAACAGAAGCCAACTTGAAGAAGCAGACAGAAGAGTGGCTGATAGCCCAGGATGAAGTGAATAAGCTTAAGGAGGAAACAGTGAAACGCTTAGGAGAAGCCAATGAAACCATGGAGGACTTCTTGAAAGTGAAAAAGCTACTGACTGATGTGAGATTCGAGCTTATTTCTTCTCGGGAAGCTTTGGTATTTTCCAGGGAGCAAATGGAAGAAAAAGAGCTACTATTAGAAAAACAATTGGAAGAACTCGAGGAACAGAGGAAAAGTGTGTTGTCATATATGCAAAGCTTGAGGGATGCTCACACTGAAGTAGAGAGTGAGAGAGTAAAGCTCAGAGTTGTTGAGGCTAAGAATTTTGCGCTTGAGCGGGAAATATCGGTCCAAAAAGAACTGCTGGAGGATTTACGAGAGGAGTTGCAGAAAGAGAAACCATTGTTGGAGCAAGCTATGCATGATATATCCGTTATTCAAGATGAGCTTTACAAAAAAGCTAAAGCGTTTCAGGTATCACAGAATCTACTTCAGGAGAAAGAGGCAAGTTTGGTGGAGGCCAAACTAGAGATTCAGCATCTGGAGTCCGAACAGGCTTCTCTAGAACTATTACTGCAAGAAAAGGATGAAGAACTCACGGAAGCTCGAAATAAATTGGAAAAAGTGAACCGGGAGGTAACAGAGCTAAAGGCACTTATGATTTGTAGAGAAGATCAGCTTATGGAGGCAACTGAAATGCTGAAAGAGAAAGATGTCCACCTTCACAGAATAGAAGGTGAGTTGGGCAGCTCCAAGCTGAAAGTCACTGAAGCTGAAATGGTGGTGGAAAGAATTGCAGAATTGACGAGCAGATTGCTTATGTCAACCACCGAAGGTCAAAATCAGAACGCAATGAGGATTAACAATGAGATAAGCTTTGACGCAATGCAGCAACCACTAGAGAAACCTCATGATGATTACGGAATGGAGAACAAACGACTGGTGATGGAGTTAAGCTTCACCAGAGAAAATCTACGGATGAAAGAAATGGAAGTTCTAGCAGTGCAGAGGGCATTGACATTTAAAGACGAAGAGATCGACGTGGTCATGGGAAGATTAGAAGCCAAGGAGCGGGAACTCAAGAAACTGAAAGAAGAAACGATCAATGACAGTGAAGATTTGAAAGTGCTCTATGCCTTGGCACAAGAGAGAATAGGGGAGAAAACAATGGGTGAGCTAGCCATAGAGAAGCTTCAGCTTGAGGCGGCTCAACTTGAAGTTGAAGCTGCAACCAGTGCATTACAGACGCTTGCAGAAATGAGCATGGAACTTCTAACTCAAGCTGACATGAGCATTGAGGCCGACCCAGCTTACATAGTAATGCCAGAGCAAGGGTATTCAGAAGGAAGTAATGGGTGTATTGCGGAGGTAAAAACAGAAGTTGTCAGGCTCTGGTCCTTGACAGAGAAACTCCTGGAGAATGCAGGAATGAAAGGTGTGACTTTATGAAGCTTTGTTTAACTTTATAAGCCTGATCTGATCTGTCTGATTCTTTTGTGGATATGTAGAATTACCGGAAGTTAAATATGTTGTCACTAAGTGGTCTCAAAACTGAGATATGTTCCGCATTACAAGGCTTGTAATTGTCTGATCAGTTCTTGAAAATACTATGCTTGCATCAAACTGAATTATATTTCACACTACGATAAAGGATTATAACAGAATTTTTTGAAGCATTAATTAGCCATAGAGAAGTAGATTAGTAGACATACTTCCTCTTTCCCTTGGAAGGTGAATTACGTGTAGTTTGTATCTTATGTATCACAAACCTTCGTCTGATCAACCAAAGTGAGTCATTTAATATATAAAGAAAATTCTTCGAGAGGTTATGTTATATATGTTTTCAAAATTTTATAAGTCTAGGAGACTGTTTACGTTTTAATACATTTTATTCACTTAATACTACTTACGTACTGGGCAAACATGGTGATCAAGTAGTTAGTGAGGGACTCGTAAGAGTTGAAAAGCTTCATGTCCATCTCACCTTAATTAACATACACTGATGAACTCAATGATGATGATGATGATGATCTAACTCATTCAGTCGTAGCCATTGGATTAGATATGTTGTTGTTCCACACCGTGATTCTCCTACCATGATGGTGATATTGGTGATTACGACTATGATGATACAAATTATGATACTTTGTCATACATGACTTTATATGCATCTATGCTTGATATACTTTCAATGAATACGGCAACTTTTAAAATGCTTTAAATAAAACATTTTATGAGATATGGCAAGAACGTTACTGTGAGGTGTTCTTGAACAAAAAGCCATAACCTTTGTAGATCTAGGACCTTAGAACTAGTTAGTGCGTTTACTTAGATTTTGTTTCAGGATTTCAGTTTAGGATAAAGAGATGAAGAGAAACCGAGCATCAAAGAGAAAGAAACACGAGAATTTAACAGAATTCCCATCGTTAACCTACGCCTTGTGCCGGAAACTCCACTAAAACTTTTGAGCTTTAGAGTTTAATTTCTTTAATGAGCTTTAAGTTCATCTCTCTCATGTTCTCACTTCACTTCCTTACAAAAAAAAAAAACAGAGCACCCTCTGCTTGGTATTTAAGCACATTAAGAGAAGATAGGAGGAGAGAAGAAACAGTAAATGGATATGTGCCTCGTGCTTCAACATTGTTTATACCATGCATGATGCATGTCGTCAACTTTCATTCTGCAGGGTTTTTCAGTTTCACGTGATTTATCTCCAGGCTGCGACCTTTTGCCTTTCGAACTCGGCAGCTCTTGAGAAGTGGTACAAACTGTAGTTGACGTGAGATTGGTTAGAAGTCGTCCTGCTTTGACTTAAACGTCATGTTGAAAAACTTCAGTGTAATTTGCAAATCTTTCACCCTTTTATCTCACTCGATGCTTCAAACCTTATTGGTGCTTTGGGGGCTTTGCTCTTCTTTTGACAGTTACACAGGTACCCTGCCTTCACACGCAGCTTCACTCAGTCACATGTAATATTCTCTCTTCCATCGATCGTATTACTAGCAACCTCATTTCTACGTTCACTCAAAACGGTCAGCAGAAACGTGAAAATTTCTTTATAATTAATACGGTCAAGAACTTCTTTATGCATGTTTTAACTTTTTAAAGAGAATTTTCTTACTATCTGACCAACTATTGAGGCGAAAAACCTCTATATTCCATCTTGTTTTCGGTGCAATTTTTGCTATAGAAGATTGATTGGTGTTTTTATTTCGTTTTTCATTTTTTTTGTCTAATGAGCATCTGCACATTTTCATTTGCAAATTCGTCAATGAATCGCCAATTTGCGGTGCGCTAGTGACAACATGGAGTATTAGCAACCAATTAATTTCGTCCTTTTTATTTTAAAGGCTAGGGCCGGGTGATTAAATAATATGTCACTAAATATTTAGTCTCTGATCGAGTACTTCTGATTGTGTTTTGTATTTATAAATGCTTTAGATATTTGTGGTTTTTTGTAAGATATTTTTTTTAGAAAAACATGTAAACGAACTTAAATTAATCTACTATACATTTTTGCAGCAGTTTTTGGGGTCCCCAATCGAGTCAAAATTTTGACCCGGAAATCATTTATTTCGACCCGGAAATAAGTCTCTCGGATCCTTCCAATTTTGATATTTTACCTGACTTTGTTTCAATAGCAGATTTCCTTAATTGATATTCCCTACATTCAAGGCAAACAACATTTACTCTTTGATTATTGAAAGATATGGAAAATATAATTAAATAATCTTAAATATTCCTATAAAATCTAAACTTAAACCAACGAAATATTTAACTACAGAATTAGTTACTAAACTTAAACGACATATTGGATTCAATCTTCCTAAAATATCTCAAACTTAACTACCAAAATATTACTAGCTCTTAATTCTATCATCAATTTAGATATTATTGTGCTTCGAGAATTAATGCCGAGATTGCCGAGATTTACTTCTCCAATTATATCAATCCCGAGATTGAATATAGATATGTGCCGAGATATCTCTTTCTATTTAAACACTCCACCTTGAACTTCAAGTAATTTTTTCCTAAAATATCTATCAAAATAACGAAATATATAAAGAATATTAATTACCAAATAAAAGATTGATCCTAGCATATTCCATAAACACAATAATATCAAAGATTGTATCCCACAAATCTTGCGTCGTTTTTAATTTTAGAGAGCAGCCTATCAATAAACGAACCCTAATTTACTTCCCTATAAATACTTTACACCTAAACCATGGAGTTCCATCACCAAACACAAGAGCGTACAATCATTTAACAATATTTAGCATACCTTTCTTCTCTTTCAATGGCTACGTTAGCTTGGGAATTCAATCAGAAGAAAGAGACTGACAGAGCAATTTCAGAGAAAGGACAATCAGAATCATAATAAGTTTCTATCTTACTCAAACTGTCATCTATACTTACAAAATTATCCTTCTGAATCAGGTTTCAATATTTATCTACAACATTCTATTACAGTTTATTGCCTATGTTACTTCAATATGCACGACGTCTATCAAAAAACGTTTTACTGGTAGAGTAAATACGCACCTGGAACTTCTAATCCTTGCTAATTGCGTTCCATTTGTTGCTTCCATGACTTTTGGTCTGCATAAAAATATTGGCAATTAGCTACATATAACATTACTTACTACCGTTCATGTATACCAATAAGCTATATGGCAATGACAACCAATTCTTATTGTAAACAACATCTGCACAAATTGATACAATATGGTAAAATTGAGGAGTACTTAACTTTATATTTTGTGATAGAATCGTTTCTAGAACTTAGCAATATCTCTCTGTGATACACATTTTTGATCCAAGAAATATTATACTGCTTTCATATCTTGATTTGTTACTATCTCTATCTTCTAAACTTCCAATGCATCATCCATGCTAAAGATCATCGATTATGCCTACTAAGTAAATATGATCTTCTTAGCTAAAGATTGGAACTTCAGTGACGTGGAGAGTGTATTTGAAAGCTTAGGAATCCATTTGATCTACCAAAAATATATTCACTTACTTTCAATTGGATAACAAGGATATTAGGCATTTGGAGTATAGACGACATCTGCTTCCTCGCCGTCACCAGTTTATCACAGCTAAATCAAAGTAAAAATTTCAGTACAAAAAAAAACAGAAGCACAAACTGAAAGAGTCAGAAAGAAGAGAAATCACTTACGTCTCGCATTTATACTTATTGTTGCCATCTAAAATCTCTGATTGAAATTTTTTTTGCATAGACTCCTTGATAGAGATACTATGCAAAATTTCAAGACTGATATCCATAATCTCATCGGCTGTATTTGACTCGGCACCACATGACAAACACTTGACCTGGCTCTGCAAAGCACCACCAAAAATCTCCTTGACGACAAAACCAATCTTCCCAATTATAATCGTCTCAATCAATGATTCAGATCATAACCCATCACTTGATAGGTAAAAGAAAGAGTTAATATCATAAAGAAGTACCTCACAAACTACTCAGGAAATAGATCAACCCAAAGTCGCTCAAAGAAGAAACCAATTCCTTAAATTTACTCCAAAATTGTCCACCCCAAAGCGATAATGCTGTTAATTTCTACAAATCCAACTCTCTGGAACTTGCACAAACCATTGCCATGACCTAAAGTATATTCAAGTATCGTCATTTGGTATTTGGAAACATCCAAAACAAATCATCAAAGAAAAACTAAGCTTCAAACTAGAAAAGGCTTTACCTTTCTTGAAGTCTGATGCTTGAGAGAATGCAAAGAATAAACAAGGGATTATGGTGGCCATCGAAGACTTTACCTCATATCCATAAGAAGAATCGTTTGGATTTGAGGTTATAGACGATTGGTGATGAAATCTTCTATTCACAGCTATGGATCGAGCATAAAATTACAAGAATCAGGAATAAAACGAGATATATTCGAAGAGTAAAAGAGAAAAGGAAACGAATTTTAACGATTTACTTCTCATGTGAGAGATGTTGAAACGGTGGAATTCGTAGCAAACAGTGTAACGTTTGATCTTTCCGAGTAGCAGATGAAGAAATCAATTGGAATATCAGCTCCTAATGACAACGATTTTGTATCAAGATTAAGAAGAGTGAAATCCTCTGCTGCTTAAATTAAGAAGAGTGAAATTTGTTCTGAACAAAGAAGATGAAGACTGGTGCCGACAACAATGTAGAATTAATTATCTGATTTTTTTAATTTGTGCAAAATACTTAATTATCTATTCACTTCCTTTTTTATACAAAAATCCAATTACCAACTCTGTCTATATGATAGTTATTATATTTAAAGACCAACATACAGTTTTGTTTCAATTCAGAAAATTATATTAGAATTGGTTCAGTTTAATAATCAAAGTTTATAAAACAATTGACTTAAAACTATATTTGATATGAAATTCATAATTGATATCACTCATATTTTCATTGCACAACAACACTATATATTCTAAATTGATCTATTATTTATTTTGCGAACAAACAAAATGATAAAACATAAAAATATTTAACTTATATTACCAAATTTTATAATATAGATTAGAAACTATAATTTCTAAAAAAAAATATTATTCTTTTTTTTTTTTTTTTGATAACTCGGGTGTCCAGTCCCACCGAAGTGGAACCGACTAGCATGGGACCCACATGCGTCATCTGCCCTAGGGTACCCCACATCCCGGGGAGCTGGCGATTCCCTCATATGATTCCCTCATATAATTTCTATAAAAAAATATTATTCTCTCACAACTAATCGTTACTTACGGAATTATATGTTACCGTTCCTATATTTATTAACCGTAAACCTAAAACAAAATATAGATATATATATATATATATATATATATATATATGGATGATACATTTAAAATATACAAATAAATATATTTTTTATCTATTAACAAACAAAACAACTTACATTTAAATTTTTTTTAAAAAAAATAGTCCCGCGGTGTACCAAATGAACCAATTGTACCGCGGTGTAAATTGACTCGAATTATATGTTTTTAAAACAAAATATTTTTAAAAAGAAAAATAACAAAATAATGTTTAATTTCACGGGACGGGGTTATATGGTGGGACGAGTTTGGGTTGATATTAATATGGGATGATGTTCCACGGGTGAAATCCTAGAATTAACAAATAAAATAAAAGTATACAATTATAAACACTAAACAAAACAAACAATACTAACAAAACAACTACAACTTAAAATTTAAAATTTTTAGTTACAAAAATATCAATCTGCAGTACACCGCGGAGTAAAATCTAGCTTTTATTACAAACCAAATACAACCAATCATGACTATAAACAAAAAATTTATTAATCAAATATATATAACACAAATAATTAAGTTATAAAAAACACAAACAAAAATTTATTTAATCCGCGGGTCATATCCTAGTTATTATTATTTTGTTAAAACAAAAAGGGGAATAAGAAAACGACATAATTGTCATCCTTCTCCACTAAATGCGACTACGCAAAAGTAAGTTTGTCACATTGGCCTACGCAAAAGTAAGTTTGTCGCATTTACGTCTGTCAGTGGACAAAAAAAATAAAATGTATATACGGTATTTAATAAAAGTTAGGTAATTGGTCGATTTTGCCCCTACTATCATCGCCAAATACCAACGTTGCCACTAAATTTCCTCACTTTTTATAAACTTTCAAACTCCTCCCGCAGAGACTCAGAGAGTCTTAATTTCTTCTTCCGTACGACGAACAAGAAAAAAAAAGTGTGCGATTCTAGGGTTCCGGCACGGCGCTCCGGCAAACACCCCCATTTCCTTTCTTTCTTTTTTTTTCTTTTTTTCTGCAAAAAACAAAAATGGTAAACCACACCGAGCAGGAATCTTCGCTCGTTTTGGTAAGCTTCTAGAGATGGATTTTCCTCTTTTGATTCTCAATCAACCCGATACATATATTTTTGGCACTGACTTGTTTATTTTGCTCTTCGTTTTGTTGAAATAGACTAGGGAATTGCTCCGTACTGCCATCTTCAACATCAGTTACATCAGAGGCCTCTTTCCCGTGAAGTATTTCAGAAATATATCGGTTCCTGCTTTAGGTGAGACACTAACCATGGAAGTTTCTAGAACAGTTTAATGGGAACCTGATGCTTTTGAATCACAATATAGATATGAAGATGAAGAAGCTAATGCCTATGGACGCTGAATCACGCCGATTGATTGGCTGGGTGGAGAAAAGAGTCTACGATGCCCTGCAGAAGAAAAACCTGAAGACACTTACGTTCTACATCTGTGAAACAGTAGATGGTCCGATGATTGAGGAATACACATGTAAGTTCTGGGGAGATGATTGATTAGCTCAATTATAGTGTAGTTCGCTGGTGAAATGGTCCGATTTAATTGATACTCTCCCCTCCCTGTCTATTTATATCCTGGGAACTGGGATTAGCCTGGGAAGGATTCTTGTGGTGATTGCAGCCATTTTCTGGGACTCAGCCCCTTTCTTTTCCACAACTTTCTTGGACTCGTTTGACTCCTCAACTTTTTTTGGACTCGTTTGACTCCTCCTTTGGACTCACTTTTATTGACTCTCTTTGCATCATTTCCTTGTCTAACACTTCCAGAAATTTAACTGTGCAATACACATTCACAGGCTCCGATTCAGAAATAAACATACACAGAAATAAACCAAATAAACAATAATTTTATTACTTATCTAGTAGTTTTTCTATCGTGACTTTTCCGGCTTTCTCATTCACATGCTCTGATTCAGAATTTGGAGGGGTCGAATCATTTTCTCCAAAGAAGAAATGTCCAACCTGTAAGGAGAGGATACCCAAACCAACTCTGGAGGCAAAACAAGTGTGAAATTCTTAAAGCTATCGAAGCTTTCAGCTTTCAGCTTACAGGATAGATTCAAAAGCTGAAAGCCCGTTGCACACTGATCGAGAGTCATCTATCCGTTCCGGATTCTCCACATGAGAGAATCCGGAAGTTGTTTGCAGCTGTATCCTCTCACCAATTCTCCAAGATTTTAGAAGCATGTCGACGAAAGAAGCCAGTTTTGGGTGATGCTATGTTGTGGTCAACTGTATGGTAAATTTATCAGTGTGCAACGGGCTTTCAGCTTTTGAATCTCATATTTCTACAAGAAGAAGTATTTCACAGTGGACACTGTTGCTTTAAGAATTTCACACTGGTTTTGCCTCCGGAGTTGGTTTGGGTATCCTCTCCTTACAGGTTGGACATTTCTTCTTTGGAGAAAAGGATTCGACCCCTCCAAGTTCTGAATCGGAGCCTGTGAATGAGAAAGCCGGAAAAGTCACGATAGAAGTACTAGATAAGTAATAAAATTATTGTTTATTTCTGAATCGGAGCCTGTGAATGTGTATTGCACAGTTAAATTTCTGGAGGTGTGAGACAAGGAAATGATGCAAAAAGAGTCAATAAAAATGAGTCAAACGAATCCAAAAAAGTTGAGGAGGAGTCAAACGAGTCTAAGAAAGTTGTGGAAAAAAAAGAGGATGAGTCCCATAAAATGGTTGCAATCACCACAAGAATCCTTCCCAAGATAATCCCAATTGGCTTCGAGACATTTGCACGACGTAGGACAGACCCTTACAATATCAGGTAATTGGAAAATCAATTTATCTTTTAATCATTTCAGATTTATTATTGTCTTATATCTTAAAATAGTCATTAATAGAGATCTGATTTTTATAATTTTTTGTTATGGTGAAAGAACGTTCCCCCGCCGCAACAACCTTATTCAAGGGTGACACCAGACAGCGCATGGGGCCTCTTTAGTCTCTCTTCATTCTCATTGTGGCCTATGTTCTCAAGTTGATACTTTATAAGATTGATGAAGGTTATCTGTATTTTTGCTAACTCATTACCTACTTGTAGTTCGAATTTGGGTTCTCTGTGCTCCTTTTGTCACCTGTTGTCTGTTCAATAATGGGTTTTCTCCTCTTGCTTTAAGTTGAGGAAATGCCATCAAAATCTTGCAAGCTTGCCTCTTTTTGTTTGGTATGTTCATTATTACTTGTAGTGAAAGTCTTTCAAAGAGCAAAAATAAAAATGTTATTATGTACATGAAACCATGACTAGAACAGAATAATATATGGACCAGACCAAGTTTGACACAAACCTAATAATAGCAGCCCTAAACACTGAACACAAGCCATTTAGATTTGCCAGAGCCCTTACCATCCGGAATCTTACAGTCATCTTGTCCACTCGAGCCATCGCGCTGTTTTCCATCCTTTGACCTTCCTATTTTCTTCCCGACAAAGAACCCTAACTTCATTGCTGTCAATAGACCCATAGCAATAAGCAAAGGTCTCACAGCCCAATGAATATCCTCCAGATGTTGATATTTTTTCACAACTCCTTGACATGTATTGAAATTCACAATCTCTACTTCAGCCGGATCTGCAAGACAACTTCCATGTTCCTCTCCAAAAGGTAACACTCCAGGGAAGTCCACCTCGAGGCAACCATTTGGTAGAACCTGAGAGATCCTGCCAGTTGCCCAAATACCTCTACTTTTACGCATCCATTTGAATCTCGGGATGACAACATTGGTTTTCAGTTTCACAAATTGACCCACACTGTATGCTTTAGCCATCTGAAGCTGCGATGATGTCCCTTTCCAGAGAGTTGGCAACCCAATAAACCCAACAGCTACATTTCCCTCACGGTCAATTGAATGGAGAACACCAACCGGAGAGTGCCTCTTGTCTTTCCTGACCTTCAGACGCACCCAATCTCCAGAAGCTAAGCCGCTAGTTACCCGTTCAAGAACAGACACGTGAACCCTTAACGGATCATGTACACCATGGACTTTAACTAGCATAAATCCATCTGGGTCTGTGGTGTCACGTTCTAAACCAACCACAATTCCTTCTGGCACATCCATGTTCTCATGCTTACACGAATTGGCAGGCTTTCTTGAACGCACTGTGTCGCCCACTTGCAGATGATCCTTTGAAAGAAACCATTCTGTATAACCAAGAGTACCCGAGCTCTTCATGATTTCTCTACTATCAATGCCTCTCCAAACCTGTTCCTCCTCCAAGCTCTGCAAGCTGCCAAATCGGTTCCAGTTAATATCACAATTAAAGGTAGCCAAAAGTGCCAATTAAAATTTACATCACGAATAAAGAAATTGGATTCCAAAAAAAACTATTAAAACATCAGACACGACTATAAAAATTATTGAATTTCCGGAGGTACTATGAGGATATATAATGATAATATAAACACTTCGATCTTGTTCAAACTGAATATAGAACAGTGTCAAGATATGATTAACCTCTTTAAGACGAGTAAGATGTCAGTCATCGAAGGTCGGCTTCGAAGATCATACATAAAGCAACCCCGAAGTAGGTTATCAAGAGGAGGCGGTATGGTATTGGGGATACTAAGCTTTTCTTGCTTTCTCACCACCAAATCATATATTTCATCGGCGGATCTCCCCGACCAAGGTTGTACACCAGTCAGCATTTCCACAATGCTGCAACCAAATCCCCAAGAATCAGTCTCAAAGGACATGGGACCTCTTACTTCCGGTTGCCACTGTTCTGGAGCCATATAGCTTGGTGTTCCAAGTCTCACTGTCATATCAGAACTTGGCAAAGGGATACTGAGAAGGAGATAAGGGATCCCAACATCCCCGAGGACGGCCTTGTCGTTATCACTTAGAAGAAAGTTAGAGGGCTTAAGATTGAGAATCAGAAACCCTTTTGAGTGCAACTCCAGGATCCCTGTAGCCAGATCAACCCCGTATCTGTAAAGTGAGGTTCACATAGATGAGAAGACATTAGAATGAAGAAGACGCTACTACTACGACCTTCTTATTTGTGTAATGCAAAATTACCTCAATACATCAGGCAGTGAAAGCTTTCCTCCTTTAAGCCGAGCCATCTTATCACCAACAGAGCCCTCGTAGAATTTCATGATGATGCATATCTACAGGATACAAATCAGCAATTAAACAGAAATTGAAAATATGGTGAAACTAGAGAAACACACATGTTTGTTTTACTTACCTTTCCACTGATACTAGAGACTCCTCGGAGCAGACAGACATTCTCTACTCCTTGACACTTGGAGAAGAGATCTTCAAACTTATCTACCACAACCCTTCTTTGATCCTCCTTGATAGGATGAAGCATTTTGATTGCCACTTCATGATGCTCATCATAGTCCTCAGTTGACTGATGATGAGTAGCCAGCCAAACATCACCGAAGGGACCTCTTCCAATTCGATGTCGAAGCTTCAACGTTGATGAATTCATCCAAGGGCTTGTCCCCGCTGCTAAAGCGCTCTCAGACTCACCTTCAATGATTTCATACTCGGAATCATCCGGCTTGCCAGCAATAATCTTTGAAGCCATTTATCTTTGTCTGAACCAACAAACACAGTTTCACCAGTTAGGATACCGCATAAACGCAACAACAAAAATCAAACTCTTTAAGCAAGAACTCAATCGCATAAGAGAATCAAACTATTTAAGCAACAAAAAAAGCTTTCCTTTCACTTGTTAATTGTTCTTTCAAGCAGATAGAGAAAGCAAGAAAATACGAAACAAGATTCCGAAACTAAACATCATGGTAAAACGCAATACATGGAATTGAAGAGAAAAGTCAGAAACCAGAGACGTGTCCACTATGGAAATAAGTTAGCGATACAAACAAGGGACAGAGACAGTATCGTGGAGAAGTAGAAGAACAAGTAACAGTAACCAAACACAATGAAAACTCAATTACTGCAAGATAGAATCAATCATGAGTCAATCAAAGTTAACCAGCCAATGCTCTGTTTTCCTCATAGTCGGATATGACCAACAATAAAGAGAAGTCAGATCTCACAGATCAAAATATCTAAGCAAAGAAATCAAACTGAAATTGAACTAAAGTTGCAATGAAACCAGAAACAAATCACAGCTTACGAAGCGCAAAAGAAGGGATAAAGAAAGTAACCGACAATAAGGGAGAGAAACGAGTAATTTCGACGGATTAAGAAGCCTTTGAAGAAACGCTAACACCAGTAATGACGAGCGAAGATGATAAAACAAAACTCCAAAGGCCTGATGAAAGAGAAACGAAGAAAACAAGCAAAAAACTAAGAATTGATCATCGGAAACTGAAACAAGTAACTTGAGAAGCTGAAAAAGACAGAGAAGAGAAAGAGAACCGTGAGAGAGAGAGAAAGAAGAAGGAAGAAGAACAAGGAAGGCGTGGAGGCCCTGTAATTTGTTTTAATCAAACACCCACCCGCGTTAGTTAAGTTAATACTCCCTCTGTTCCTAATAGTTTGATGTTTTGGAATTGTCACACATATTAAGAACTCAATTATTCTTTGATCATTTTAAGATTGTTTTTTAATTTTAAATATTTTTGATAATTATCAACCAATAGTAGTGTACGAAAGTTAATGATTTATAATCATTGTATCTTAAAGTTTACAATTTACTATTATAAGTTAATAAAAATAAAATAAAATTGCTAGAAAATCAATCTTTGTGGAACAAACAACAAAAACTAAAATATCAACCTTTTAGGAACAGAGGGAGTACCTAATACCACAACCGCATGCCCATTTCTTTTTGTTCAACAAGCCCATTTAGTTTTTTGTTCGATAGGCCCATTTCACTTTCTATTCTTTCTTCATTAGTTAGTACTTAGTACTACTACTAGACGAGAAAATCAAAATCAAACTTCAAATTTTACTTTTTATATTAAAGATATTTTATACCAAGTTACCAACGATGAAAACATGTTCATGTCTTTCCAATAAAGCTGTAAGTTTGACTACATAACATATATAACAACAAGTGTGTTTTGACCCAAAAAGAAGAAAAAAAAAAGTGTATAATTGAAGGTTGGGCTTAGTTATTGGACCTGAACCCCGTTATGGAAGAGTCCACTCAACTTTTTGTGAAACCTTTCAGACCGAGCACGTGTTTGGCTCTGAAAACTCAATCGCTCTCTACTTCTTACATAAACAACTCCTGCCATTTGCTTTTTTGTTCAATCGATTCAAATAGATTATAAATCTAGTGACGATAAGACTCAGATGAAGATTTATCCGCAAAAAACTGATTCCGCAGTATACTTACTTGTAAGTAGAAAAACTAAAATAAGAGAAGAGAGCTAATTATTTATAAACTTACAAAATAAAAAGTGTTCTTCTTGAACGACGAACAACAATCCAAGAAACAGAGAAGAAGAAAGAAGAGATTTACAGTAATTTCTTGTAAATGAGTTTTGACAGAGAGAGAGACAGAGAATTACAAAGTTAACAAAAATATGATTTTAATTTTATATAATTTAAGAAGGAAGAACCTTCTTGACAATGTCTTCACTAAGAGCAGCAATCTGAGAATCCAAAGCTTTAATGGTTTCTTCCTTCTGCTTCTCCAAGCTCGCCAAAGCTTCTTTTAGCTCCTCCTCCACCTTCTTCCTTCCCTCCGCTAGCTTCTCCTCAACCTCAACCTGCGAAAAAAAAAACACACAATCGAATCCATTTTTACCAATTTCTTCAATCTGAGAATGAATATATGCATTGTTGTTTATTTTATACCTGAGTCTCCTTCTTCATCTTGTTAAGCGCGGCGGCGATCTCAGCCCTAGCTGCTCTCATCACGGCGGCGGCTTTCTCATCGAGCTCCTTTACCTCAGCCGAAGTGTCCTTAACACTCGCGAGCTTCTCTTTGATGGAAGCGTCTCTTTGATCCATAAAGTTACCAAGCGGAGAGTAATAGACTTTGTCGAGTGCGAACATCAAGAAGAGAAACTCAACAACGATGATCGGAAGCGTTAGATTGAAATCGAAGAGCTGTGCTTTCTCCATCGCCTCCGCCATTGACGGTGGAGCGAAGGCGGCGATTAGAGCTAAGGATTTGGCGGTGGCGGATGAGAGTGATAGAGCTTTGCTACGGAGATCGGTGGAGGAAGTGAGTGATTTGGGAATTTGGGGAAGTTTGGCGAATTTGGGAATTTGGACTCGGCTTGGTTGTTGGTTGGAGGAGAGGGAGATTAGGGGTTTGGAAGAAGCCATAATCGAATTAGCAGCCATGGCCACACACACTGAGAGAAGAGCTTCGAGAGATGAGAAATGTTCAAAAACTGATCTCTGTAATCTCTTTGGAGACGAAGAGAGAGAGAGAGAAGAGATTTGCTTAGGAATGTTATCTCTTCTCTTCGCCACACAAATAAGCTAAAGGCTGTGGTCGTGAGATTAAAACGAAAGAAGCGGAAAAAACGAAATGGTTGCGTTTTGGCCACAATCGCAAACGCGAACGCTGTACCAGATAAGGTTAAAATGGCTAAGACTGTAGGTAGGTAATTTGTGAAAAGTAGACACTACAAACGCAAACACACACAATCATCAATCCCTTATTCGTTTTGCACACACACACAACATCAAAGTTTGTATATAAAACACGAAGATTGGGAAATCAAAATCTCTACAAGAATCAAATGAGAAAGTTCCATGGAAGAAGAGTGTTTTTTTTTTCTTTTTTTTTCTATGTTTCGGAGATGAGTTTTTTTCTGTTCCACACATCCTTCTCGGAATAACACTTGAAACGAAACCTTGCAATGAGTTTGTTAAAAACTCTACTTGCAGTCACGTTTCTGTGTTTAGTACCTCGTTGACTTGGCGTCGTCGACTTGTAAGAGAGCCAACCTCCCAATACAGTCGCTAGAAAGCTTGGTTGGATCCGAGGGATGGAGTCAACACCATCTTCTTGACCTTCTCTTACCTTCTTTTTCCGGGTTTCGGGTGTGGTTGAGAACCTGATTGGTCCAAAAACATGTATTACCATGGATTCTCCGGATAATGAAATGCTAAAAGCATTTAATACCAAAGTTCTTACAGTTTGAGTTGTTTGAAAGAAGAAACACGGGGTGTCTTGCTCTTATGCTTCACCATCAACATGCAGTAGTTTGAGATATGGCGGATGAATCGAAGCTGAATGATGGTGGATTAAAACCCATTAGAGCATTACTACAAAGCACAATGTAGTCAAAACTAAACTTGACTATTATAAGAATCTACATAATCCAGGTTGGAGAATCTAGCTACCCAGGTGCATCGTTAGACAAGCTCTCTACACTACCAAATCACATAGCTGAAAGTTTCAGCCTGAAACAATATCATAAGTATAGACTCATTGATGCATTCAAGTGAAAAAGAAAGAGTAAACGGCTAACCTGATCGCCGTCTTTAATGCCAAATTCAAGGAGGTACTCAGACTCGTTAATCAGTCTTTTATCTTCGTAAGATAAGCAGAATTGTCCCCAAACATGCGGCCTTTATAATCTCAGTGTAAATATAGGATCATCAATAATCGTTTATATAGAAACAAATTCGGAATTCTTCAAAGAATAACTCGAATAAAGAATCAGATGGTACCATGAGATCTTGCCAGGGCCTGAGATGGGCAAGTGAGAAAACGCAGCTTCTACTGCCATCTTGAGCTCCCCTACTGTCGCTGTCTTCAACACTTGAATACCTACAAATCCAAAACACGCTTAAAGGGAATCCTACGAAACCACTAAATTCAGAAACCAGTCAAAATTCTCCGGAAAACATCAAACAAATCAACACAGACAAAAAAAAAAAAAAAAAACTAAAATTCGTTGTAAAGCAACAACTTTTAGTTCTTTTGAGCCACAATACTTAGTTGACATATAAAATTTAATGGTAAAAACAAGTAACAGATGAGTATAGGTACCAAAGGAAGATCCATCAAGCTTGAGAACAGTGAGTTTGATGGGCTCTTCAGGCATCTGATTATAATTGAAACTCCTCCGACGCGGGAGTCCATCGATTAGCCGGAGAGGCGAGAGAGACGCAGCAAAAGAGCGGCGTGGAAAGTCCATAGATTGATTATTGAGAAATTTTGATTTTCCCGGGCTAAGACATCTACTTCCAAGTTTTTGGCGACGGAGTAGGAGAAATCAGAGCTTGAGTTGGGTCCGAGTGGAAGATTGATACCATGGGAAGAGGATGAGGAAGGTGAAAGATACTTTGAAGGGAATCATGGTTAAGGGATCTCTGCTTTTTCCAGCCACCTTTTTACCGGCGAGAATGGTTTGCTTTTGAAGATATGCAACATGAAAACAAATAACTATACTATATAAACAAAAATCAGAATGTTGTAACAACAAGCACCCATGGCCTAATGGATAAGGCGCTTGACTTCTAATCAAGCGATTGTGGGTTCGAGTCCCACTGGGTGTGTGATTCTTTTTTTTTTCTTTTACTTTGCAATCTTAACCAAACTCTTATTTTTGAGCTGCAAGAAATCCTCATATCATTCATTAATATCAGACCGTTATATACACATTTTGAATGCTTTACTCTTTGATTCAGTGAAAAACCGAGTCTCTCTACAATGTAAAAGAAATCAGTTTCTTTATAATCCAGTTATGTTTCGCCTTGTTGAGAACTGAAGAAGAACAAGACACAAGTTCAAAAAATTAGGCCTCGCATTATTAATACTACTCTAAAGTCACCTGCAAAACCAAAAGTTGAACACTCTATCTCCACTTGAACATCACTAGTCTTCAACTTTTCCTTAAACTAATGAGCCTTTATCATCACTAGTCTTCAACTTTTCCTTAAACTCATGTTTTTGTTGGCTCTTCTTTGTTTTGGAGTTGTTACCTCCCGATGATCTTATAATATGCATATAAACCTGACCCGAAGAAACCAAGAAGCTGTCCAATCACATTCATCTGCGTGAATGAACCCAAAAAAAAAAAGGTACTCAGATGTAGCAAAAGTAGATGCCGATTTTGGGTTCAATAGACTAATTGGAACGTTGAAGAAAATTACCAGGTCGAATGGGAGTCCACCAAAGAGCATCCAGCCTAGTCCAACCGTGAATAGATCCTGCAACGATGATATAATGTTCAAAATGTCTCCTTAGCAGATTAGTTTCACATTTCTTTTGTACAGGAGATACTAACAAAGTGAAACCAACCTTCATATTGCCACAAATTGTCTGCGTCAGAGCTGAGTTGAGAGTGGTGTTAAGGAAAATGCAGTAGTTTAAGAAGAAAGCCAGCACGCACGAGCAGAGTAATACAACCTGGGTGAGAACATAACAGAAAAAGAGATTATCAGTATCACAAACGCAAAGTGGACAGATATAAGGTAAATAATGATTTACGGTACCATGAAACCAGGAGATAAGAGGTGAGGAAAGTTAATTGTCTTCTCCAAGTCGCCACAAATAAATGTCCAAATCATCAATATAGGTCCGCATATAATTCCTATCATTGAAAATCTCACAAATTCAAAGCAAGTCTTGAGAGTTTAGGGTCAATTTTGTTATCTGTTTAGTTTATATTACCATTGGACCACATAAGGCCAAAGCTATTCAAGCCACTTGATTTCCCTGGAGAACCAGACATTAGACTTGGGTAAGAGAGATTTCACTCTGGCAGGAGGACATGTAGTAAAACAATTTATTCAGAGAGCGGGTGACTAGCGTACCAGTACGGGCAATAGTTGCTAGATATACTGCTGTTGATATGTTGGCTAAGAAAACAACACCATATCCATAAAAGTCAAATGACAAGTCCCTAGCTCCAGCAAAAAATGCGCCAAGCAGGATAACGCCAACACTGACATCAATCTTACAAGAGTTTAGTGTGTGCATGTAAGAATCAAGGAGCATGATTCTTGTTTTAGAGGTGCTAACATGTACGTTTTTATGGAGGGACTTAAAGCACAATATAACATAAGCCTCTGGGGCATGTAACATACAGAATAAACGTAGAGCTACCATTATCTCTCGCATACTCCTATATCCTAATTCTTGTCTATACTGATCAAACACAAGGAGTTATTTCTTCCTAAAAGATACTATTAAACGCAGAATCCGAATACTTCACGAAATTATTAACTTCAATAGTGAAAAGATATCAATATTGCACGAACAGAAACTCCAGTATGGAAAAGATTGTGATTTTACCTTCCAATGATAGACCGTGTATATCTCTGACCTGTGAGCATGTACTCAATCACCATAGTAAATGCCACCGTAGTACGCCTAAGCGTGGTATACATGGGAACATTTACCCCTCTGACAGATGCCATAGAGGCTAGCTTTCAGGAGATACACATGGAACAAATCTGTGATCAGTTACTACTAAAGAAATCCAAAAAGCAGTAAAACTATTGCCAAAAATTATTCAGTAAAATGGTTACCATGTACATAAGATAGGCTATTGATAGAGGAAGGGTGTGAAACAATGTCTTCACTGGCACAAAATTTGAGGCATTATCAATAGAAAAAGAATCAGCAGCTGTGAAAGAGATGATCTTCCTGCGCCTCAAGGCATATAGAAACAAGCTAGAGGAAACCATCTGTGGAAAACAAAAGTGTCAAGCTAATTTAGATATTTTCCAACGGAAATATGAGTCTTATAGAACATAACTGAGACTGGAAAAAAGAATCTATGTACTAAACCTGGAATAGCGTGATAACGTTCACACACGGGAAATCATAGGAAGATAGAGCTGCTTTATTGAACAGCACAAGCATAACTGTGAATCAACATCCAAAAAAAAAAAATTGTCACATCTGATTAAACATACAATCAATTGTAAGTGTATCTTCTTCTTTACAAAATTGATTACAACAAAACATATTCATATTTGCCACATTTCAGTAACAACAACTACACAATGAGATTTTCATAGACTACTCAACAACGCGATTGTGTAGGCGAGGTCACTGAATTATATAGAATTTGAAGCCATTCTGATCAATACGGATATACAAATGTAGGACGAAGAAATTTGAAATGAATGAACACATTTACAAAGCAAACCAATCCAAGTCTTCGTCACGATATGGTTGCATCAACATCAGCGAAAATTCGAAACTGAATCTAACCACGAACTACGGAATCCAGCGAATCGAATCCGAGAAAACACCAGAACTGGACCCTACTCCAAAACACGTGATTCGAATCAATGACCCAAGTGAAATCGGGGAAATTACCAGCACAGGCCATGTAAGAAAGAGCAGCGTAAGCTCCACGTTTGGTCATGGCGGATCCTTTGAAAAGCCGATCATCAACATCATTTTCACCGGCGAGAGGAGGATCGGAAACCGGAAGGACAGGATTAGTCCTCATGGAATTCATCGTCGAGAGAGGTAGACTCTCTCCACGCTCTTCGTCTTCGTCGTCGTTCGCCGTCTCTCTGAGTCTTTGGTTCTCCTCCAAACACCGGAGAAAAATGCGTCACCGAAATGAATAATACTGACCGTAGAAGACACGGGAAATGTTGGAGTAAACACCTCTGCTTTTTGCAATCATTATCAAAGAGGGAATGTCACGTGTTTTTCTATTTGTGGGTTAAGGCCCACATTATTTTAAGCCCATTTCAAATTTGGGCTAAACGTGAGAGCTAAGGCCTTTATCGGTGTAGCTTTTTAGGGAGTTTTCTTTTTTTAGTTGTCTCGTCATGCTTTATGTACGGCATTTGAATAAGTTAATTCAGGACAAAAATATCACTTTTTGTATTATTGAGAGATTCGGGATTTGTGGAAGAATCAATCACGTGTTCTTAATTGTCATATAATGTTTTCATAGTGATTAGTGACCAATTATAATTAAAATCGCAGTGAAAGTTTTAGTCAACAACACTTTCAGCGAAATCAGGGTTTGTTTCTTCATCATATTGATTATAGCGCTACCTTTTTTTTAGTTTTTGAGCTACGTTCATCACAAGTTATACATAAAACGTTCAAGATAAATTTTTGTAAGAGAAACAACTTAAATCACAAATATATAGAACTCACTAAACTATCATCTATAACGAGATAACATGTTGCCAATTTGATCAAGAAGCTTGGATGATGAATGAATGTGGCAGGTTTGTGGTACGATTGGTAAAATAGTAGTTGAGGAGACATAGGAAAAACATGATAAGACTTTGCTATTTACAACTTGACGGAGACAAGACATTAAGCCAAAGCTGTCACAAAAACACTCAAACTCTTTTCTCAGTGTTTTGAGTTTAAAGAGAGACTTATTCACTTCCCCTTTCCTAACACTTATTTGTCCCCCAACCAAACAGTTTCTGTCCTTTCCCTTGTCCTCCCACGTGCATCTTTATATCTCATGACTTTTCGTTTCTAGATCTTGAATAATGTCTAGTGGATTAGGTTTGTTGTCGGTTCATTAGGTGACTAGTATCATATTTTCTTTTCCTATACTTGGGAGATCGCAGGATGAAGCAGATACTAAGTTTCAGAGCATACACACCTAATTTGAAGCTCATTGACTTAGTCCTTTTAATCTTGTTTACAAAAATTTGATCTAAAAATGTTGATGGGGTAAGTAGGCATGTAAGTTTTGCTACTAGTCATGATCAAATAATAGCAAAAACAGAACGATCCCACGAGCAAGACTAAGTGTAAAGTGGTTCCCACAAGAGCCATATCCCATATGGTCCTTCAACTTTTAAAGCCCATTACTTCAGTGGTCGACCCGACATTACGCCACGAGTAGTCACGCACGCACGACTCCGTTCACGTGACACTCACGTTGATATTTCCCCCTCTACTCTCTTCTCCGATCCTTGTTGATCTAAAAAACCATGAGGAGACAAACCTAATTTCATATTAATATATATGATATAGACTTCTTACTCAACAGTCACTTTCGTAATCCAAATTCATATCTTACGAAATTATTTCTTAAAAGAAGGTTGTGGATTAAGTTTTAATATTGTGTTAACCACAGCATATATCCTTGTACCAACAGTGTTTATTCTTAAATGGAAACAAACATATGTCAATGTCATGCATACAGCTAAAATATCATTATATAATGTTAAGAGTAAAAGAAGAAAATTAAAAATTGAAACAACGCAATATTTTTATAGATGTACTTATTGTATTTTTCTAGTCTTCATGGTAGTTTTGTTGCTTTATTTTGTTTTAAAAATCATAAGTCGGCAATTCAACCTGTTTTATCCTAGTCCAATAAATCATTAAGGGAGGAGGTACTATCTATAGTCGCCTCAATCAATTTACGTTGTCATGGCATTCAATCCAAAGAAACTATAAGCTATGAAGAATCCTCAATCTTTGGTTACAAAAACAAAACAGTTGTTAAAATTAGTGTTCAAAAAGTAGCATGTTCCTTCCCATACAGAGCAAACAAAGTACTCAAGCTCAGGATAGGAAAACATTACTTAGCCCTTAGTCATAATTTGATCAAACTCCTCCCAAAAAATTGCAACTGATGAAGTCAATATTTGTATAGTGAATCAAGCTATAAATGTCTACTGATAGTTGTCTCTTAAAAGGTTAACAAAAGTTATGAAAAGCTGAAAAAATCAGAGTTTGCTAGTATTACTTACAGTTATCAATTTAAGTATCACATTATAGTATTGGATGAAATGATTCTTTCCGTGCAAAACCAAATTTTCTATTAGAAACATAGAATGTAAACAAAAATATGGGACGTTGTCCGTTCCAACATTAACCAAACTTGTCTATTACTAATATTCATGTTGGTTTGATTAGGGCTGGGCATTCGGGTATGCGGGTCGGGTTCGGGTAAAACCCGATCGGGTACGGGTCTTTCGGGTAGAGGAGTTTAGGACCCAATAGGGTAAATCTAAAATATCGGTTTGGTTTCGGTTCGGATCTAATCGGGTTCGGGTCGGTTCGGGTTTAGATTTTTAGAACCGCTAAATACCCAAAAAAATCGGGTACCCATCGGGTTCGGGTATTTTATACCCAAATACCCAAAATTTTACCAAATACCCGAATTTTATCTGAAATTTTATCCTAATATCCGAATTTTATCCGCAATTTTACTATAATATCCAAGTTTCACCCAAAAATTTATCCGAATAACCGGAATTTTGTCCAAATATTTAAAAAATTTACAAGCATCTCGCGTATAAATATATTTTGTCTTAAATATTTAAATATCAGTGCATTTAATTTTTGGTAATTATTCTCGGATATTTAGATATAAATGTATTTAGCTCAAATATTACATATATAAAAAGTTTTATATGTATAAGTATATGTAATTTCGGGTAATCGGGTACCCGTTCGGGTATCGGGTTCGGATCGGGTTTTACCCTATACCCACGGGTACGACAATACAAGATCCAATAGGGTAAATAGCTAATACCCGTACCCGCCCCGAACCGGTTTTTTCGGGTCGGTTTCGGTTCGGGTACTCGGGTACGGTTTTTTTGCCCAGGCCTAGGTTTGATGTTGGATGTCTAAATTCGTTGAATCATGTGTCCCTTGACGAAATATGCCTCTTCTTATTTCTTAGTTTAGATGCACTTTACCATATTTTCTAGTACTTGCTTTAATTTTTTTAATAAAATATGTTGATTGTCATATTGCGAAAAGTGTGAATTAAAAACGCCAATCTAGCCATCTAGCACAAGTTAGCAGTCGTAGATCCTTCCATATATTAATTTTGCAAATTTTGCTAATCGTAACGAAGATATCCAGCCACTTTTACACGCTTTTTATGAAATCAATAAATAATTATCATAACATTTTCAGCCATTTTTTTAATTTCTTAAACCATGATGGTGTAAAATAATTATCATACTATATAATGAGCGGAATTTATGATATAATTGTTTGTAATTATGTTATGTTATATAAAAATTTAAATTTAATAGTGTGTGAGTGAGAACTTGTTATATCTACTAGTGTAGATAATATAGATTTTGGATATAAAAATAAAATTTATAAAATGTATTTAAATCAGAAAAGCATAAAACTTTAGATAAAATAATGTAAAAATGTGTTAGCATCAATGTTGGGATATTGGCCGACCCGAACTTAATCAATGTCGGAAGCAATTACTTCTCTCCCAAAAGACTTTTTCCCCTTTGCAGAACTAGGAACTTCCTCACTACCATTCGCTTAACGTGAAAGCCATAAATTCCATATATTCAAAAAATCAAAACTGTTTAGCATAACCTCTATTTGGTATAGATTTTAATTTATGTTATATCCTAAACTGTATGATTTCGTACAGCATTGGCTCATAAAGATGAATATTCGTAAAAAGAGTTCGCCGTTGTTATTTGTTAGGTCTGCTACGTTATCTGGTGAAAACGTTATTTCAATCATGTTGAGTTTAATTTTAAATACTATGAAACTTTTGAAGATAATATTGTTTCCTAGTCAACTATATGTTCTACATTATGGTCCAAGAAGATATATGAACTAAAAGTTCAGGATTCAACGACATAAATTACAAATATTCTAATACTTGATTGATTACTTGTTTAGAATAGATAGTATCGTGTTGGTTAAGATACCATAGAGACACATCTATCGACATCTATATTTGTGTGGGTTACATAAATGTACATTTTATATATGTATATATTTATGATTAAGCCATATATCCCTCCTTGACCTCTGCCCCCCTTTCCTTTTACTATAAATAGAGAATACTTATGATCCTCTAATTCAGCAATCAGCACCAACCTACACAACCTTTTCCAAAGCCAACAATAAAAGAACAAAAGCTTTTATTTTCATCAAATACGAAGCTGCCTTAGAAATGGAGTTGGATCTTGGTCTCTCTCTTTCACCTCATAGCTCTTCAAAGCTAGGGTTCGACTTTGACCTCAACAAGCATTGTGTGATGGAGGGTGCTGCGTCTTGTTTGGATACCCAAAAACTGTGTTTTGATGCGACGTTTGGGTTGGGGAATGTTGAAGAAGATTGTTATATGCCAAAACCGCGTTTGTTTGCCTTGAATGGCCAGCCCAATGAGGAAGACGAAGATCCTCTGGAATCCGAATCTTCAATTGTTTATGAGTGAGTCACTAACTAATACTATATAAGTATTTGACAATAATTAGGTTAAGCTAGTTACATCTGGCATTATATAGCAAAATCAGTGACTTCTAAGTTTCTCAAAAATGTTATGATGTTGTATTTAACTCAATGGAGAGGCATAATTTGATAATGGTTATAACATTTAATTAATTTTGACATTTTAGTGATGAGGAGGAAAATAGCGAAGTCGTGGGATGGCCACCAGTAAAAACATGTATGATAAAGTATGGTAGTTATCATCATCGTCATAGTCGTAATCATCATCATTACCCGTATCATCATCGTGATAGAAGGATCACGGTGATGAACAACAACATATCTAATCCAACAACGGCTACAGTCGGATCATCATCATCTTCGTCAACATCATCGAGATCATCAATGTATGTTAAGGTTAAGATGGATGGTGTGGCAATAGCAAGAAAGGTGGATATCAAGCTTTTCAACTCTTACGAGTCCCTCACTAACTCCTTGATCACCATGTTTACCGAATGTAAGTATACACTACGTTTATCAAAAGCTAATGTAAGAAAACTATAAACAATTGAAAATATAACATAACTTTGAATCTAATTTTGGTTAATCAGATGAAGATTGTGACAGAGAAGATACAAACTATACATTCACCTTCCAAGGGAAAGACGGTGGCTGGCTACTACCAGGGGATACTCCATGGAAGTAAGTTTACTTCTTTATACTTATTGCCTCAATTTTACAATATTATGAACTTTAAGAAAAAAACCAATTATTTAGTACTCAATATACTCTATTTTTCTTTCAAATGCATGTACATATCATTTCGGAGATGGGTGACAGATATATTAATAATTAACTTCTTGTTTTGGTTTTGTAGGATCTTTGCGGAATCTGTTCATCGGATATCAATAATTAGAGAACGTCCGTGTGCATATACAAGATGTTTGTTTTAAAGATAGAAAGTTCAAATCGGACTATTATATTTATTTTGTAATGAAAATGTTTATCATTAGATTATAAATCCACTTGATCTCTTTCCTCACTTCTTCTAGTTCTATTATCCAATTCAATGGTTTATAAGCTGTTATTATCAGGAATCATGGCTAACAAATGGACGAAAAGCTAAAGAAAATTCAAAAGCCTAAAAAAAATTCATGAATTGTCAGTGACTAACTAGCTAGCGGATCAGATTAGGGAAATCAATAATTAAGCTGTTAGAAATTTCCTTGTTCAAATTCCATATCATACAACGACTTTTCTTGTTTACCTTTTTTTTTTAATAGACTTGTTTGATTGAGAAACCAGAAAAACATAAGAATGTGATGGTTACGGAATGATATTACTGATTTCCGGGTTTTACATAAGTAGGTCACTTTATATGATTTGAAATTTTCTAAGTTATTAATTAACATTTTTGTTTGAATCAGATTCGAGTACTATTTAAAATAGTGAGTATGATCCAAAACCATAATTTATAGACAAACAAGGAAAAAACAAACAAGCATGAATATTTTAGAAGCTAAAAAGAAACAAAATTAAAACTCAATATTATTGATTTTAGCTTAAAATATGTAATTTAGATTGAAATACTAACCATGAAATATACAAAAGGGTGAGTTAAATATCTCTATGCACAGAGGAATGGTTATTACTAAAATGGTTATTATATTTAACATTTTTGCTTAAAATAATATCATAAGCTTATCATCTTTAAATTAACTAAAAATAATATCTGTATTTAAAGAAAAAATATGTATATATTTAAGAAATTTAGAGAAACACATCTAGTAACTAAAGTTATGTATGAATGAAACAACTGTAAAAAAATACGATAATAACTCTTACAAAAAATTGAATGATTAAAAAAAAAAGACATCTTCACCGATACGTTCAGTGTTCAGACATACGCGGCTCCCGTCAATCCCGGTCACAAACCAAACCTTCAGATCGACGGCTCTAAGCAGTCCACGTCACCCTTGGACTCTTAACTCTCTTGTTAAATTGTGTCTCTCTGTCTTTTTTGACTGGTTCGGCGAATCTGACACCCGCCTCCTCCCTTGTATAGGAGTCTTTTTTATTGAGAAAATATAGATCTTCTTCACCTTCTTCATAGATCTCAGATCCCGATCCCGATCCCGCCGGCGACTTCTTCATTTTCTCTTCACCTCCCAATCAATCTCTCTCTCCCGCAGATCTAGCGAATCGGTATTGAACATTTCAATTTAGATATCGTTGGATTCTCCATTAATTTCTCAACCAAATTACTCTCTCTTTTTTGTTTGGGGTTTTTGAAAGATTTCGAGTCCCTAAGTAGGAGTGGAATCATGGCGCTGAGCATGCGTAAAGCGATCGGAGTTGTTAAGGATCAGACTAGTATCGGCATAGCCAAGGTAGCTAGCAACATAGCTCCAGATCTGGAAGTTGCGATCGTGAAAGCTACGAGCCACGACGATGATCAATCTAGTGACAAGTATATCCGCGAGATCCTTAGCTTAACTTCACTCTCCCGTGGCTACGTTCACGCCTGTGTCACCTCTGTCTCACGCCGTCTTAAGAAGACGCGTGACTGGATCGTCGCTCTCAAGGCTCTTATGCTCGTCCACCGTCTTCTTAACGAAGGAGATCCACTGTTTCAGGAAGAGATCCTTTACGCTACCCGACGAGGTACGAGGATTCTTAACATGTCTGATTTTCGTGATGAGGCTCATTCTAGCTCTTGGGATCACTCTGCTTTCGTTAGGACATATGCTAGTTACTTGGATCAGAGGCTTGAACTAGCTCTTTTTGAGAGGAAAGGGAGAAATGGTGGTGGTGGTAGTAGTAGTAGTAGTCATCAAAGCAATGGGGATGATGGATATAGTCGGTCTAGGGATGATTTTAGGTCTCCCCCTCCAAGAACTTATGATTATGAGACTGGTAATGGTTTTGCTATGCCTAAGAGGTCTCGGTCTTTTGGAGATGTGAATGAGATTGGAGGAAGAGAAGAGAAGAAATCGGTTACTCCTTTAAGAGAGATGACACCCGAGAGGATTTTTGGAAAGATGGGTCATTTGCAGAGGCTGCTTGATCGGTTTTTATCTTGTCGACCTACCGGTTTAGCCAAAAACAGTCGGATGATCTTAATTGCCATGTACCCGGTTGTGAAAGAGAGTTTTAGGCTTTACGCTGACATATGCGAGGTCTTGGCTGTTCTGCTTGACAAGTTTTTCGATATGGAGTATACTGATTGTGTCAAGGCCTTTGATGCTTATGCTAGTGCGGCTAAACAGATCGATGAGCTCATTGCGTTCTACCATTGGTGTAAGGACACGGGCGTGGCGAGATCTTCTGAGTACCCTGAGGTTCAGAGGATCACGAGCAAGCTGTTGGAGACATTAGAAGAGTTTGTGAGAGACAGAGCCAAGAGGGCCAAAAGTCCCGAGAGGAAAGAGATAGAAGCTCCTCCTGCTCCTGCTCCTCCAGTTGAAGAGCCAGTGGGTATGAATGAGATCAAAGCGCTTCCTCCTCCAGAGAATCACACTCCTCCACCTCCACCTGCTCCAGAGCCTAAACCGCAGCAACCGCAGGTAACTGATGATCTAGTTAACCTGAGAGAAGATGATGTCACTGGTGATGACCAAGGGAACAAGTTTGCTCTTGCTCTCTTTGCGGGTCCTCCTGCTAGTAACGGAAAATGGGAAGCTTTTTCTTCTGATAATGGCGTGACATCGGCTTGGCAGAATCCAGCAGCAGAGCTCGGGAAAGCGGATTGGGAACTGGCATTGGTTGAGACAGCTAGTAATCTAGAACATCAGAAAGCCGCTATGGGTGGTGGTTTAGATCCGTTGTTACTCAACGGAATGTACGATCAAGGAGCAGTTAGACAACACGTGAGCACCTCGGAGTTAACTGGTGGAAGTTCAAGCAGCGTAGCACTCCCTTTACCGGGTAAAATCAACAGCCATATACTAGCACTTCCTGCGCCCGATGGAACCGTTCAGAAAGTGAACCAAGACCCGTTTGCAGCTTCCCTGACCATTCCGCCTCCTTCATATGTGCAAATGGCTGAGATGGACAAAAAACAATATCTATTGACTCAGGAGCAGCAATTATGGCAGCAATATCAGCAAGAAGGAATGAGAGGTCAAGCTAGTTTGGCTAAGATGAATACAGCCCAAACCGCAATGCCGTATGGGATGCCACCGGTTAACGGGATGGGACCGCCGCCGATGGGGTATTACTACAACAACCCTTACTGATTTCATTCATTTTGTTTGTTTTTTATTTACATATATATTTTTCGACCAATGTAGATGTGTTATAATCCGGTTTCTTCTTGTATTTTTTTTTCCTGATCTTGCGTCCTATTATTGAACCTGTGAGACTTTGCCTCTTTTGAGTATTGATGAATAATGAGTTTATACATTTGTTGTTTTCTTGTAATTCTTTGTACGACTTAGCTTGGATTGGTTTGGTTTGGTTTGGTTTGGTTGGAGTTGGGTGAAGCTAACGATAGGTAAAAATAACTATCAGGTGTTCAACCGTATTTGTCGCTTTCTGGTTAATATATAAGCCTTTTGTTTGTATCTCATATACTAAAATACTGTAATCAAAGTTCTCTATATAAAATTTGATTTGTGAAACAGTGTGCATATGATACATTTTCTAACATTGTTGGACTTTACAGACCATTATACCTTTCACGCGATTTATATTGGAGTTGGACCAAAATTCAACAAAGAAAATACTTAGTGGTAGTAATTGTCTCTCTAGTATAGTTCACTTCAACGTATTGGGTCATTGACATTTGCCATAAGAAATTTGGAACATCCTCATATCCTACTCATCAATAATAAGCGTATCTCGTGTTTTTAGTGAAGATAATGGAGCCTAAAATTGCATTTTTCTTTTTAAAGTTGACTCGTTAAAATCACTTGGTCCCCAAAAACTTTTTATCTTTTTTTTTTTTTTCTGAAAACTCCAAATATTTGATAACAACATGCATAGATAAAACAATATAATTAGCTTTGCCAAAAGTCTGCAACTAATATCTATTCTCTTCACACACGAAAAAAAATGATTATGATCTAGTGTTTTATGCACTGTCATTTGATATGTCATCATCTAAATCAACTTGCATATTGCATGTCTTTTTTTGTCAAACAAATTTTTTTAAAAAAAAAAAAGAAAAAAAAGAAGAAGACAAAATCCATGTAGAGTGATACATAATCAGGAGTGATACCTGACAATATACAAGATTTTAGTGGTTTACAAATGCGTATATGATTTACTAAAATCATAGAGACACTGGACCTATAAGAGATTGATTGATGAAAAAAATTGTCAACATAGAAGGAAAACCAGTATTTGAATCCCCCTTTCATAATATTTCCGTATAAATGTTGTATGTATTTCAAGTTTGGAAATTTAACCAAAAATGATAGTGTTTTGTAACAATGAAATTCTACATAACTTAACAATTAAAGAAAGCTCATTAGAAAGAAGCAAAAAGAACCCTATCATGGTTTCGTAAACGCAAGTTGCGATAACTTCATTGCCGCTTTTTCCACAAAACAGAGGAAGGCAATGAAGAACAAGAACCATTCATTCGTCGCATCTCTCCGATAATCGATTATTTTCTCTTGAACTAAGGTTAGATTAGTGAATTGTTGAAACTCTGGTTTTGATGCAGCCAAGGTAATCTTAAGTGTTTACTCTGCATAATCGTAATCTTCAAACCCTAAACCATGAAACAAAAAAACACCAATAAGTTAACGAAAGAGAAAGTCACCGATATACAATTTTCATTATAGCAAGTTATTCTTTAATTGTCTATCACGCGATTCATGGCTTGTAGGTATCAACTTTTTGTAAATTTTACATATTTCTTTGAAAAAAGTAAAAAAGGACAAGAAAAGCACGAGGCAAGACGATGATTGTGGGTGTGTGGTCTTTACGCGACAACCAAACTCGAGTGTTGACGAATCTAAGCCCAATCTTCCGCAAAACTTAGACCCCATATTAGATAGTTAGATAGATAATTAATTTTTATTATGTTAATAAACAACCTACTACTGAACATTTATCCATTTCATTCTCCTAGTTTCTTCTCTCTGTCTACAGTGTATATTTACATAAACACAGGGCAAAGTCGAAATTCAAAACCTACCCTATACCCACATCACTTTGATAGTCCATTAAGTATCTCTACCTATGTCAACAGTTCCATTAAATATCATTCGAAACTATGATTCTCCAATTTATCTTCTCGTATCCAATGTAAGGTTTAAATGTGGCTATTTGGTAATGATGCTTGCTTGATTCCATTTGCTAGTATGAGGATCATGAGATTCGAGTTGGACGATTTTACTTTACTCACGATAATGGTAGACTTGGGTTTTTGTTTTCCCTAGGTACTCATTTAAATTACAATTATTTTCTCCCCCAAAAAAACAGAAACTATAAGAGAATTTACAACAATGCCATTAGAGAAAACATTCACACACCACCGGCCGAGTCATTGAACAAGACGGTTCGAGCCATACCCAACAACGGCTCAAGAGCCTCCGGTGAAAACTTCCTAGCGAACAGAAACGAATCCATCCGCTCAACCGCAGACCACTCCGAACCGTTGATTCCATCCTCACCATATCTTGGCCTAGTCTTTCTAAGCCGCAAGATCAGCTCAGGCACGACTTCCTCCGGCTCGTACATCCGCGGGTGACCACCGTCGTTGACAGTCCAGTCCACGTGAGTAAGCGTGGCGGGGACACATCCACGTGGATCTCGCATATTAAGGAGGGTAGAAAAGTAACTTTCCTCCGGATAACACGAGTCTTCCCGCACGCACGTCTTGTTAAACTTCACCCATATACGCCGATCACGCGCCACCACACGCGCGTGTCTCCGTTTCAAAACCCAAAACTGAGACCCGATCCGAAACTCCTCGAGCTTCACTTCCGGAAGCATCGCGTGACTCCCAGTCGCCGTCCATCTATCGAACTGCCACGGCTCGTCTTTAAGTATCTCGATGAAGCTCTTGCGAGACGAGACAAGTGTCTTGTAAGTGAAGTCAAAGGAGCGAATTGGTACGCATGAAGGTGATATAACGGCAAACATGTAATTTAATGGATCGTCGAGAAGCGCGTGTGCTATTAGTCGACGCGCCGCCGCGGTTAGAGTGGGAGTGTGTCTCATCGAGGGTTTAGAAGAGTGAATGACCCGGTTCAGGAACACGCCGGAGAACGGCGGGTCGTATTCTCGGGTCGGATCCGCGTGAACGTAGACATTGTAGAGATTCTTGGAGCATCCATTGAAGAACTTCTCCCAAAGAGGCGCGAACGGAAGAGGCGACGTCGTTAAGTACATGAAAGCCAATTTCCGGGTCGAACCGGGAGGTAGATTCGGGTTGACCCGAGAAGCTAGTCGGAGAAGCGGCTCGTCTTCTTTAGGAATCGGCTGTCGAATCCGAACCACCGGAGAAGAAGAAGCGTCGGGAACATTTCGAGAGTAGAGAGAGAAGACGGAAAGGGAGCGGAAACCAAACTCCGGCGGCGTGATAACGCCGGTGAGTTCTCGCTGGACTGTGAAAATTACAGCCACCGGAAGACAGAGAAATAAAGCGCAGAAGAGAGGAAACAACGTCGGAGATAGCATCTCTCACTCGCCGGAGGATTAGAAGAAAATCAGTGACTACTTTTGCTTTTTAGAGAGAGAAACAAAGTATTATCAACGACATTTGGTTTCTAGAGTGAGAGAGTGGGATTTGGTGCAACTTGTATCTTACATTAGGAAATTAGATATTTAATTTGAGTACTACTAATTATAGAAATATATAATTCAATGGCATTTCATATTTGGAATTTTACATCTTTATATAGAAAAATATCTGTCTTCTCTCGAGTTGTCATTTAATATACATAACGTTCTTAAAAAAAATAGGCCACTAATTCTACTAATTCGATTACTGTACTATTTATCCAAAAAGAGTATATGAGTTGAATTCTTTTTTGGTTATTCATTTCTTGTACTTTATCAGTTTGTCATAAATCTGACTAAATCATAGGCCACACATAATGTGATTGTGTATTTGGAAGAATTTATTCGTTGATTAGCGTGCTAAAGCTAATTTTAAAAGGAGTCATAAATATTCGATTTATGGGCCGGGGGGGGGTCCTTAGTCTTACACGTGGATGGATGAAAACCGTTGGTTGGTAGCTTCCAATGACATCACGTGGCTGCGTGAATTTTCGTAATCGATCCGTTTCAGGAAACGTTTCAGTCTCGAAGGCAACAGCTTTGTTGGATACGAGTTGCACTCTACGGTGGTCCACGTGGTCGACATGCATTAGATTTGGGCCTTTAAAATCTAACTTCTTGGGCCTTTCAATAACGACGAGGCACCTTTGGTGGTTTTCATTTTGAGTTTGAGTTCAGACTTGAAGAGATTTAGGATAATGGGTCTTCGGTAATGTTTTCAGACCTTTACTTCATTCGTTGTCACTTGTCAGCAACGAGATTTTTAATTATAGTTTCTCAATCATAAAGTTTTTATTTTGTCGTCATCGTGAATGTTCAGAGAAAAGTATGGCAAAAAAATAAGAAGTGGTACGAAAGCAATTCTCAAGATTTCTTTTTGTTTCCTTTATTTTTTTACTTTGCATTGTAAAATCATATGCTTTTGTCGTTCTCTTTTTTTTGTTCCCTCACAAGTCACAAGACATGCAATTTTGAGATCACTCAAATGGATGATTTGACGCAAGTTACCCACGTGTCTTATTTAAATTTGACAGTGCAAAATCATTCCAGCAGTGGCATAATTTGGTGAATGCTATAGTTTTATTATATTTTAGTAAATTATTGGACTGCAACCCTATAGAGAGTAGGCCGGACCATAAAAAGTTTAGGCGGACTAAACCGAACCGGACCGGACCAATTGACAGGACTATCTCTCTCCCACACACTCAAATTATTGAGAAGTGAAAGCTAGTGAAGAACCACAATCTCACTTTGTCTTTTTTTTTTCTCTCTCTGATAGAAAAGGAAGTGGTGGAAGATATGCCGAGGCCAGGGCCAAGACCGTACGACTGTATCAGAAGAGCTTGGCATAGTGACAGACACCAACCCATGAGGGGTTTGCTCATCCAAGAGATTTTCAGGTCATCATCATCTTCTCTCTCTCTCACTCACTTTGTTTATCTATATGTGTTTGTATGGGTGTGTGTGCATGTGTTTCTTTAGCTCAATTTGTTCTTTGAACTATTTGTAGAATTGTTTGTGAGATTCACAGCCAATCCACCAGGAAGAACACAGAATGGCAAGAGAAGCTCCCTGTTGTTGTTTTGAGAGCTGAAGAAATCATGTATTCCAAAGCCAATTCTGAGGTTTTTTCTTCTAACATTTTAATTTCTCTATTTGGTTTTTGTTTCTAAGTAGTATTCCGATTGTCATGTTTTGATTTAATTGCCCTCTTTGAACAGTGAGATTGATAGTCTCTGGTAAATTGTACTAAACATTGGATTCACTGTCACTGTTTGTGAGTTGGTGGTGAAAATTTAGATTTGTAGCTAATGTGTTCATTTGGAAGATGAATCTTTTTCAATACTTCTTGTGGGTTTAATGTTAGGCTGAGTATATGGACATGAAGACCCTTTTAGACCGTACAAACGACGCCATCAACACCATCATACGACTTGATGAGACCACCGAAACAGGGGAATTTCTTCAGCCTTGTATAGAAGGTAATACTATACAATCTGTATATTCCAGTTCTTGGAAATTATTGGCTCATCAGATCAATTCTTCTGTAGCTGCTTTACATTTGGGGTGCACACCAAGGCGAGCTTCAAGGAGCCAACGGAACATAAACCCGAGATGTTATCTTAGCCAAGACTCAACTAACTTCGACAACATTTTGTCTCAAGTATTCATGAAACCTAACAACAACTTTGCTCCAAAGAATCTTGCAGTAGCACAAGAGAAGTGCCCTGTCTCCAAGTACTCAGTCTACCCTTTATGCTATTCATTCCGGCCAATCTCTGACTCGTGCAAGTCCAAAAACAGTAGACCTGCAAGTCTCTTTGATGCAACGAATGGCATTACCTTTGGTGGGGGTGAATGTGATCTATCTCTGCGCTTAGGTCCTCTTGGACCTCCACCTCCTACTCATAAACGAAGTAAGATGAGCAACAACAACAACAACAGCTGAAAAAGAGGACAAGATTGAGTTTTGATTAGTGAGTCTTGTGTTAGAAGAATGTGTGCTTCAGTTAGGTCTTTTAGTATCCTCTCTAGCCTCTAGGGTTTAGGTGTTTGTGAACTTGTAAATAGATAGACGAAGTAGCAAAAGAGGAGATGAAGTCGTTTTCTTCTTCCTGCATCAATCTCGAATCATCGGACTTCAAGAATGTACTAATTTACAATATTGCACAGTTCGAGAAATACCCATTCCACATCTCTGATTTCACAACAAGCATATTAAATGCCCTAAATTGGATTTTCCATCGAAAGCCGTTAGTTCCATCTGATCCCTTTGGCGACCGATGATGACTCTGGCAGGCTCTTCTGATATGGGCTTTTCTGAGCCAACTCAATTTAGGCCCATTTAGTTGCAAGTGGGCTGAAGAACACCCAGTAAACGAATATGAAGATAGTTTTTCTTTCTTCCGACACACTTGGGAGTATAAGTTGTAACAACTTTTGTGAAAGATTTATGAAAGTGTTTGTTCTACAGAAAAACCGAGTGAACTTGGACGTTAATCATCATAATGCACATGAGATTCAAAGTACATTAATTAACTATATAGTTGTAGATTATTGTATGATTTCATACCGTCTCGAACTTGATCAAAGAAGAAAAATCTTAGATGCAAAAACTATCTCAACAACCAAATCTTTGGTACATATTATTAGTTAAAAAAGAAGGGAAGATATTTCATCCCCTTATTATTAAAAGGGAAGTACAAATTGAAAAATGGTCAAATTTAGCCTTAATTTCAATTTCAATTTTGGATTTTGTTCTTTGTTAATCAAAATCGACAAGGGCATTTTGGTCATAAAGTTTCATTAAACTTTAAGAGATCCGCGTGTTAATACTCGGGTGGGTTAGGAGTAATTAACTCTTAATCACATAGTCAAGTTCTTAATCGGGTTTAGCATCCACATAAGTCAATCTAAGCCGTTCAAATTATTTTGTAAATTTAGTTCATTTTTGGTATCTAAATATGAGCATATTCGATCATAATAACTGCAAATTCAATGTAATTATCTCTCATAATAACTACAAATTCGATCATATATTGCCTAATCCCAAAAAAATCGTAATTACTATCTCTCATAAATATAATCCTAACCATAACCAACTCTACAATATTCATCATTTATCTAAATATAGCCAATCATTCAATTCTATTCCAAATTCGAATATATTTTGTTAATAGTATCTTTGATTTTATGCTTTGTCTCCAAGATATTCTCCTAGATTTTAAAATTATTGGAGCCAAAAACCCTAGCATCCTAGAATGCTATAAATATCAACGTCATTCTCATTTCCAATCCATCACTCAAATTCCTCTAACCTTAGCATCCTTCTTATTTAGATATCACAAATGGCTCAAGCAATTGCTTACCTCGATGACATCAAACCATACAAAACCACTTGGAGAGTTCAGGTCCGTGTCCTTCATACCTGGAAGACATTTACCACAAAGTTTGGTGAGACTTTCGACATGGTTCTGTCTGATGTCAAAGTAAGAATTCTTTGACATGTCTATATTAGTTCAATATATTAAAATAAGTTGTCTAATGATATACTAATATATTTCTATTTCTATGGTAGGGCAAGAAGATCCATGCGTCTGTGAAGAGAGAGCATCTCAACCGTTTTGAGAAGCTCATGGTTCCAGGAGAGTGGAAGGCTATTGAAAACTTTGGATTGACTTATTCAACTGGTCAGTTCAAAGCAACTGATCATCGTTACAAAATGGGCTTCATGGCGCAAACAAGAGTTGTGAGGATGGATCCATTGTCTGATTCTTATTACCTGTCATTGACTCCTTTCAATGATGTTTTAACTGCTGGTCTCAACCAGAACTACTTGATTGGTACATTTTCATATTAGCTATATTTTCATTTTTATCTAATCCTTTATGCAATATATATTGACGTTTTGATATTCTCTTTTGGTTCAAGATGTTGTCGGTCAAATCGTGAATGTTGGTGAAATGGAGACTATCGACGTGCAAAATAAACCTACTAAAAAGATTGATTTTGAACTGAGGGATCATACGTAAGTTTCATTCATTAGTTCTGTCGGCATTAAAATTAAATATGTCTTATTTTTGAATCTAATATTGCTATTACAATATTTAGGGATGAAAGGCTACCCTGTACTCTATGGGGTTCATTTGCAGAACAAGTTTTCTCTGCCTGTGAAGCTTCTGCTGGTGAGATGGTCATATGTTTGGTGAGATATGCTAAGATCAAGACTTACAAAGGTATTTTGTTTTGGTATTAATATCATACTTATAGTTTTTTTAAATCTTTTAAAAATTGAGCTGCTGACACTTTCTTTATGTTTTGCTTTCTAGATGTAAGGAGTATCTCCAATGCTTTCAATACATCTCAGATCTTGATCAATCCAGACATCCCTGAGATTGTTGCCTTCAAAGAAAGTTTACCAAAAGATGGGCTTGCTCTTACTCTTCTTGAGTCTAAACCAAAGCAGGAAATGATCGAGCTGACTACAGGGGATTTCTATCTTCAGTTTCCTAAGAAGACCATCAAAGAAGTCGCTGAGATGTTTGATGTAATAGTTCTTTTTTTCTATTACATTCTAATTTGATTGCATAGTTTATTCTAACCAACTTTTAAATGTTCCTATTTTCAGACTGGGAGGGTTAAGGTGCTCTGTACAATA